AACCTCCACACAAGTATGGTTACATTCCTCTTCCCACCAACCCGGGGAACGCCTAACAAAGAATGACATTCCCTGGTGTACGACCTAGATGTATCTTTCGGAGTGTTTTTTAAGCCTAAAGATTGGTGGTCAAAGAAAGACCCGGGTAAAGGGATGCAGTCCAAGAAGGCTAAGGACAGTGAAAAAGAGGGTTCGCAGAGCTCAAACACCCTGACTACCAAAAATTCAAAGGAGTTGAACACGTCGCAGAACACCAATCCGAGCACCTCACAAAACACCCAAAATTCGCAGCGTTCGGACAAGGAAAGGACTGGGGTTAAATGTCACTACTGCAGCTACCCAGGCCACATAAAGAAGGATTGTCACTACAAGAACTGGAGAGATCAGAGTGAGGAGTGGCAGCAGTCCCGAAAAGCAAAGATTGAGGAACTTGCTAAGAAAAACGGCGAGGAACCACCCGAATTCCAGAGCTCATTGAAGGGACTGGCCGCGTTACGTCCTCAACGCGATCCGAATTGGTATTTAGACACTGGGTGTTCGGGCAATATAACACCCAATATGGAGGTGCTCAGCAGTCTGCGGCCCTCAGATGACGGAAATTTTGCGGAGGACGCCAATGGAGGCTCTATCCGCACGAAAGCAGTTGGCGAGGCGAATGTTATGTTGAATGGGTCGACCCTACGCCTAAACGAAACGAATTACACTCCAGATGTGGCAAGTAATCTCGTCAGCTTTGGTCAGTTGTTATGTGATGGGTTCGACTTTGAGCTACTTCGGGGAGAGGACAGTAAAATGTACGGGTTTAAGATCAAGGCCCCAGATGGCGAGGTCTTTTACGCAACGATGAACAACTCACGCGTCTTCCCCATACATGGCACCAAAGAAGCCGCAATAGCGGCAGTGGCTAAATCAGTCGTTCCTAATCTGGCTAACACCCTATTTGCATGGCACGTCCGTCTGGGTCACCTCAATGAAAGGGACATTCTGAAACTGGCGAAAGACCCCCAGTCGGGTATAGTTATCAAAGGGGATTTGAAGATGCCCTTCTGCGAGACGTGCAAACTTTCAAAAGCGAAAACCAAGATCTCACGGATCCCCATGCCACGGGCGAAGAATCGTGGATATAGGATTCATTTCGACCTCGCGGGCGGTGGTGAGAGTCTTGGTGATGGGTTGAATGTCTTTTCACCTAGCAATCAGGGTTACAAATACGCGCTCCTAGTGGTTGATGACGCCACTCGTTACAAGTTCACCTATTTCCTCAGAGCAAAAAGCGAAGCCCCTGATGCGGTTGAATTCCACCTCAAACACCTAAAAGGATTGGGTGTTAATGTCGCGTTTGCAAGGTCTGATTTTGCGACTGAAATTGGGGGCCAAAAGACACAAAATGTCCTCACCAAACATGGGGTTAAATGGGAACCGACGGAGCCGTATGCTCCCTGGCAGGACGGGGTAAGTGAACGAGCGATTCAGGACGTAGCTATGAAGGCGCGCACTATGATGGTCCAAGCAGGTCTCCCACCTGAAATGTGGGCGGAGTGCATGCTAACCGCGACTCTGATCTCAAACATCACCCCTACCTCGACCGAATTATATAGTGAGATTGTACCCGAAGGACGTTGGAGTTCAATGACGAGTTTTGAAGCATGGGATGGGAAACCTTACAAGCGGGCAAGTGCTCTACGCGCGATTGGGACTCCCTGCTACGCATTAAAGGTTGGTAACCAAAAGGAAAAATCGAAGTTCGCAGCCCGCAGCGAACGCCACATCCTTATAGGATATTACGGGGGCTATGCCTACCGTTTATGGAACCCCACTACTAAGGAAGTTGTTGTTAGTAGTAGCGTAGAGTTCAATGAAAGTGCGACATTAAACCGCCTAGTTGGCCCTGCTCTGGACGATCGCAAGACGTCAGAGATTTCTTATAATACCCCCAGTGGTGAACCTGAGAAGGTTGACCAGCAGATTTCCTACAATCCCCCTGTTCCTGAGGACTCCACTCTACAAACTGAAATAACCCCTGCGGAACAACCCAAAAAGGACCAGCTTTTCCCATCAGCCCAGGGGACGACTGGAAAGAAGCGCGGACGGCCAAAAGGTAGCAAAAATAAGCCAAAGGCCCAACTAGCCGTAGCCGGGCAGAGGGAGAATATTGATGATGACACTGATGAAGAAGTCGCCCGCCAACCGTTTAAGGGTTGGAAGGCATTTAAAAAGCCTAATCACGAGATTGTCGCAGGGATCCGCGTCCCAAATACATATGGGGAAGCGATAGAAAGCCCGCAAAAGGAGAACTGGCTTGCCGCGATGAAGAAGGAGATTCAAAGCGCTCAAGATCATGAACTTTATGAAATTGTCCAACGACCGTCCAAGGCCTCTGTGTTAGGGGGTAAGTGGGTGTACAGAATTAAGACAGATGAAGACGGAAAAATCACAAGCTACAAGGCACGTTGGGTGGTTCAGGGGTTCCGTCAAAAGAAGGGTGTAGATTACGACTTGACATACGCCCCCGTCATATCCGCGGATACAATCCGCACGATTTTTGCAGTCGCAGCCTCAAAAGGATGGAAGATTCGCCAAATCGACTTCGTGACGGCGTTTTTAAATGCAGAACTCCCTGAGGGTGAAAGGCCCTATATGCAACAGCCGAAAGGATTCGAGGTTGGGGACCCAGAGAAGAATGTCTGTTTAGTAGTACAGTGCCTATATGGATTAAAGCAGGCTCCCCGGAATTGGTTCAACCTCATAACCTCCTACTTGGGAAAAATTGGATTCGTCGCTAGCGAATGGGACTCTGGGCTGTGGTATAACCGCGAGAAGCAGGTGTATTTGACGTTGTACGTTGATGATATGAAGCTAGTGGGGCCCGACGAGGGTGCCCTAGAGGATACGGCGAAATTGATCGCGAAGGAGTTCAACATTAAGGACTTGGGTGAGGCGCGTCACTACCTGGGTATGAAAGTAGAACGCGGGGACGAGGGAATTTGCTTATCTCAAGAGGTGTATATTGACCAGGCCCTTAAGAAATTCAACATGACAGAGTGCAACCCCGTTCGAACCCCCATGGATCCAGGTTTCGCCCCCGAGGGAGGTGACCCATTTGATGAGAGTTTGTACAGAGCGGCAGTTGGCACCCTACAGCACCTGGCCACGTATACAAGGCCCGACATAGCATTCGCGGTCGGTTATTTGGGGCGTTGGGCTAGTAAGCCTACAACAGCATGCTGGGCGGCGGTTAAACACCTGCTTCGTTATCTCAAGGGAACCAAGAGCCTGAGAATCATCTACCGCCATACCGCGGAAGTCGGCACTAAATTAAACGTGTTTTCAGATTCAGATTGGGCGGGTGATGTTGGGGACCGGAAGTCCACCTCTGGAATGGTGATTTTGCTGGCCGGTGGCCCAATCTCGTGGAAATCCTCAAAGCAAGGGGTAGTGGCGCTGTCAACAACTGAAGCCGAGTACGTTGCGTGCAGTGAGGCGCTTAAGACAGTGATTCGAATCCGCGGCCTACTTAATGAGCTGGGTCTTGCGGATGGCAGTTCACCTGCTCCTACCATCATGAACATCGACAATACGGGCGCGATAGCGGTGGCAAATGGCGAAAAGGTGACGCGGAACGTGCGCCATATTGACATACGCTTCCACCATGTCAGGGATGAGGTCCGCAAAGGGACCATTAAGCTGTGTCACATTGAGAGCGCGGGTATGGCAGCGGATTGTCTGACCAAGGCATTAAGTTACGAGATGAATACCCGGGCGATCGAGATGCTCGGGCTAGTGGGTTGAATTTTACTGGTTTTATAGTATTTGAGCGTATGGACCTAGGCCTTATTAGGCAAGTAGAGTCTACTTCATGTAATTAACTTTCATTGCGGATTTGAACGAGTTGAAAGGTAATAGAGAGCAGCGGCTGGGATGCCAGCAAAGTGGCATGGGGGGGTGTTGAGCCGCCTCAGTCATGTGACCACGTGACTAAGTATTCACGTGATCTCATAGTGTATTACATAGCTAGCTAGCTCCCACTCATTAATAACAAGCAACTACGTGTAAGCCTTCAACACATGGGATATTATATCTCTATCCTCAACAAGGAAACCGGGGACAATCCAACCCACCATGATGCAAAGCAACCCGGCCAGGAAGTTATAACAGAGTATCAACCATTCAATGTTCCGCCCGGGTATACTGTATACATCAGAGTTGCCAGTGTATACTTTGAGGTCTAGAATGACATTGTAACTTCCATTCCATAGATGCTGTTGAGATGGTATCCATCCTCACTAGCACACGAGATCGTGAAGGAGATATCCTGAGTGTCATCTTTTGGGAACAGCGTAGCTAAACACCCTGTCTTCTCTAGACCTTGGCGCCTTTCCTGTATCCAAAGTTTGCTATTCTGGACTGCTGTTTTAAAGGGCTCGGGTAGTGCAGCGATACTACTCGCTGGTGCGTTCGTGTATATGTACCCCTCTCGATTGTCGGTCATTGAGGTTTGATGTGTGTGGTCGCGAACTTGTGGTTGGTTCCCGTCGCTAAACGGTCTAGTTACCACGTTCGGTGTGCGAGCCGTTCCCGTTACGATCGCATGTTTGATATGTCGAATAAACTGGTGCAACAAACCCCATATCTCGCAGGCTTGGAAGTTGATCTACATCAAAGTCAGCGTTGCTGACAGGAAAGGGTGGTTGTCACTGACTTATTCTGGAATTACATGGCCTGTAGTCGACCCCTATTGTGTATCATTAGTATTAGGTAACTAGCATCGGATAAAAATGTCGCCGCCCACCTTGTTGGGTTGCTACCATATCATTACTACCAAGTGAGTTTGCGTGCGTGGCGACAGGACCTAACTCCATCAATATCTGATGTAAAACGAGGAAAGGTCCATCTAACCTTGAAATTGCTGCTCCCTGTTTGATGCTACTAGAGATGCTGAGCTTTCGACCCCGTGCCCTCTTTTTCCGAAAGGGTTGAGGGTTTCTCTCTGGTTGGCGAGCGCAGATTCCGACAAGCTTGAAACTAATTCTCGAAACATATCACACGTATTCAAAGGCTCCTCTTTTTCTAGAGATTGCAGCGTTTGGAGTATATCAGGAGATAGTAAAGGTATCCGCTCGGTGTACGTATCGTCAATTACGAAATCGAACGTGCCGTCTGGCATGCCCCCAGACGTCTTCCAACTCGACGGCGGAAGGGCCATTGCCCACATAAGAATAACGTGAGGATGCTGGGACCGAAGCACCCCACATCTTGTACGAGTGTGTCTCTTTCTTGTTTTGACTTGCTCAGAATCCAAATCAGAGTCCTTGGGACCGATGTAGATAAGCTCAAGGTTCCTCCTGAGATTCATCAAGATAGGTGAGGTTATTGATTGATAGTTTTTTGTATCTCGAATTTGATTTGCGATGGCGATGTCTTCGTTCCCACAGTGATTTAGCTTTGCAATCGCTGCATTCAGAGCTGCCCAGGATGAATCCATTCTCCCGCGTAGTTTCCGAAACTCATTCCGCTGGTCCCTTGTTGGTCGAATCTTCCTACCTGTAAGCTTCAACAACATCGACTCCGTCCGGGCTGCAAGCGCCTCGAATTGTGATAAAACTAAACTAGCAGACATGGTGAACTTAGGTCTGAATCTATTGCAATGAAGAAGGGACTGGCTAAAACTGGATCAGATAATCTATGAACCATAGATCAACAAGTACAAATAGTTTACAGAGTTCTTTAAGGGGGGTGTGCTCTATATACATCTCTGCTTGTCTTTATTTGTAGCCTGCATGCTTATCCGAACCAGGGTAGCACAAACCTGGGCTCACACAAATTGATTATCACATGGGCGGAGTCACACTATGACATGTCCTCGTAAGATAAGGACTTATTTCAATGTCTAGGCTAAGAACGGTATAGTATTGGATTGAATGCAGAGCTCAACGAGTGGCTGAGACACGGATGGGCATTGAACCAACCCAGGGCTTGTATTTGCAAGTGTTGTCACCTGCATGATCTTCATCCGCAGGTGAATCTAGTATAGCAAAACTATGGTGCCTCACAAAGACTTGTTCAAGTGTGCATCACCAGAAAGGAGTCACACCGTAGCATGCCCCGAAAATCGATGCTATAGACTCAAGTGTACACATAACTAAGCACCGGGATAGCATGATGTTTTTGTGAGGCGCCATAATTTTGCTATATTAGATTCATCACCGCTGAATCCCTGCAAGTGAGGCGGTGAGATGAGGTATTGGCCTATTCGCCTGCGTCCTCTTGTTGGGTGCCCTGGTGCTAAATGCAGCATACGGAACAGCAGATTTGGTTTGCCGGGTCAACTTGTACTGATGGATGAAAGGTGGTAGGTAGTACAAGTTTCACATGGTAGGGAAGAGACTAATAGCGTTTCCGGCACTGAGCTCGCAAGGCTTTTCATTGTGTTTTGATAATTTTTCAACCTAGATCAACCTCTCTTCCCGTGCTTTGACAATTCAATGAAGAAGCATGGTGAAATGTACCTAGCATAGCCTGCGTTGGTATAGACGGCATATCCGGCGTCTAGAAATACGAGGACACCGATCGACTCGACTTTGTACGGGTTCCAACCGCATATAAGGGCGCAAGATTCCTTCCGAATCCTAAGGCGATGAACGTCTTACGAAAATTCGAGCTCTGCAAATACCAATTCCTCATCCCAATTGACAAACACTTACTTGTGTATATATCACTCCAAACGTATCGCGCATAATACCATCTCTTAAGGAAACCACCAAATACTCCAGAATGAACGCATTTAACAGTGGTAGTTCTTCGCCAATCCACACTGCCCCTACTCAAATCTCTATTATGGATGTCTTCTTCCCTGGCTTCACCGGCATCACTGCATCTATGCAACAGCTCCTGACTGGCAACCTGAACAGCTATGCTCACCTGATGTGCATGTGCGGGATGTTCCTCTTTCTGGGTAGATATGCATACCGCTACCTGACAGAATTGGTGGAGGCCTATTTCAGTTCGTGACTCTCCCCGTAGTGATAGTTCTTTCTAACCATTGAAAACTTCGACCGTCCACGTCTCCTACTACAATGAAGCGTACGATATGCTTATCGCCTGGGTATCCACCCAGCCCTTCGCCCATAAGGCTCGGTCCTTTCTCGTCAGCATCGACGGCATGCAAAGAAGAGCATATGCTGATGATCTCTCAAAAGAGTACAAGAAGAAACCATTGCGTTTTTCACCTTGGAATGGATCATTCTTCTTCGTGTACAAGAACCATCTGCTCCGGTTCCAGTGCGTGGCAAAAGAGACCAAGGAAGAGATCTCCATTTCCTGCATCGGCGGATCTTCGCAAATCCTGAGAGCACTTCTTAGTGATTGCCGAGCCGAGTATCTAAAACTTATTCAGAGAAAGACTACAGTCTTTGAGCATCATGATGGTGAATGGAGGAAGGCGAAGGCAAGAGACATCAGACCAATTTCAACAGTCATCATGGATGAGGACGAGAAAATGGCCGTGTTGAAAGATATCGAGGATTTCCTGGACGAGCGGGCTCGGGGCTGGTATGCAAGGCGTGGGATACCCTATCGAAGAGGGTTCCTGCTGTATGGGCCTCCTGGAACCGGGAAGTCCAGTTTCAGCTTATCTGTCGCCGGGCGTTTTGAGCTAGATATCTATGTACTCAATCTTTCAAGCATCGATGACAACCGCCTGAGCAGCTTGTTTGCCCAGCTTCCCCCGCATTGTGTCATTCTCTTAGAAGATATCGATGCTGCTAGTACAGCAGAAACGGAAGACAGTGAAACGACGGAAAACACTGACCAGGCCGCGGTAGGCCCTTCACAGAAGAGCAAGTCTCAGGGAAATGTATCTCTGTCCGCGCTTCTTAATGCCCTGGATGGCGTGTCTTCGCAGGAAGGTCGATTGCTGATTATGACAACAAATCACATTGAGCGTTTGGATGACGCACTCATCCGCCCTGGCCGCGTGGATCGAAAAGTTTTATTGCAGCTCGCTGATAAGAAAACTGCAGTTCTTGTCTTTCTGTA